CCACGTCACAACTGTGCCGCGACCCCCCTGTGCTGGGTTTCTTTTATTTATTTTTGTTAAGAACATTAATTTTCATATGATACAATATAATTAAACAAATAAAAAATGTATAAATTAATATATAAATTACTATAAAGCAGTTGATAACTTATTTTTAATAATTTACTTGACTAGGATATTTTATAATTATCTTTCATTTAACATAGGCCACAAAGATCACAATTTAACTCAATAAATACTCACTAACAAGTTAGTTATCATATGAACAAAAATGTTTCATTTTATAAAATACAATGAAAATAAATAAATACAAACTATCAAAACTGTATCACAGTTTTTAACTTGTGTACTAATTAACAATATAAGTATTTATTTACTCAAAAAGAATATTTTTATGTATGTCTTTGTGAATCAAGCTTCGACATTAATTAAAGGTAATTCCTTTTAAAAAAAGTCAATATATTAGTTGTCAAATAGTTTCTGAGTCTAAATCTTTATGTCTGGGGTTTAAATATTAGATTGTTCAATTAATGTCTTTTTGGTATACATTTCTATCGATTAGAAATCTCTTTTCTAAATTTGGTTTTATATTTTTTTTAAATACAATTGTTTGTTTCATCATATTATATATCATATACATTAGTTTTCATATACTTAATGATTTGTCTAAAAGTAATCATAAAATCAAAATTTTTTTCACATAACACCGTTATAGGCACTTGTAAAGATTTTAGAAATTTGACTCCATTCACTTTCATTAATTTCAAGTTTCAAAACTAATTTTGAAGAAATTATATCTACTTTTTAGTTTACAAAATAAATGATTTAAAAAATAATATATCAATCATTTAAAAAGACTCTAGCCTAAAGGTATAAAATAATTAGCTTTATATAATTACATAAGTTATAAAATAATACTCTCCTGATAAATGACTGCAATGTACATTGACGACCAACAAAATCTATGTGTAAAAATTATATTTAAAATTGATAGATATCTAATAAATTTGAATATCACAATATTTTTTAGGTACCAAGTTGTGATGGGTTACTGCTGCCTGTAATATCGTGTACTTGGATATATTGGTTACTCAATTAAATCATGTATCCATACGGTTTGGGTATTACTCAAATATTTTGGTTACCTGAATATCCGAATATTACCCTCATAAAATTAAGAGCTTTATAAAATATTGTTATAATTTAGAATAAAATTAAAGAACAAAAATTTGTCATATTAAAATATTTTTTGATTTTTAATAAGACTATGTTAATTTATCAATTCAACCTCAATTTATACATTTTTATGGGTTAAGCCACTATAACACTCGGGTTATCAGTTATTAAAATTCTTAAACAATAAACTTTAGAATCCTTTACTAATGGTTAGTAAAAATTAAGTCATAATAATTTTTGTTGATTTTTATTTAACTGTATTTTTACAAAACATGTAAAGAAATTATATTTATAAATTTTAAAAATAATGTCTAAGTATTTAAAAATTTATGTTAAAATAATAGTCCTATATTGTATAATAATCAGAGTATGCACTGATAAAATAACAGTTTACTAAAAGTTAAAATATCATTAATTATCATTACTCAGAAACAAAATATAACAATAAGTAAACTGTAAAGTAAGTAAACTAACAATGTAATTTTTAACACGCTTATTAATGTTTGATAAATATACAAAACAATTTTTGTTAGTGCTATATGTTATAATGAAATAAGTTTGTTTCAATTATAATTTCAACACAATGAAATTATTTAAAATTAATATTGCTATTTGTAATGTTATAAATATTTAAGGGCATCAAATAATCTTCGAATTATTAAATAAAAATAAATAAATAGGTTGCTTGTACATTTCAAATTTGAATGTGTGGTATGTCAATTTACAGATTATATATATATATTTTTTTTGAATTTGATTTAATTCTGCCAATCAGTACTGACTTCCCCATCCTCTCTTGCACAAGTAGTAAATAATTATAACAACTTAATATATAACAAATAAGAGGGAGTATAGGTGTAATGTCAATCGTATATAAGATGAGAGAAAATAGAATTAGATGACTTGTTCATGTTATGAGGAAAAAGGAATTAAAAAATATAAGAACAGTTATGGGAATGAATATTGAGGGAAGAAGACCAAAAAAGAGATGGAGGGATGTTATTGAGGACATNGGGAAGAAGACCAAAAAAGAGATGGAGGGATGTTATTGAATACAATATGAGGACAGCTGATGTGTACATGATGATATGGGAGATCGTATCAACTTGGAGTTTAGGATAAGGGTGACAGACCCCAAGTAGTTGAGATTAAGGTGAGGAAAAAAAAGAAAGAAGATGATAATTAAAAGAAATATATAATAACAAAAAATGATCTATATTTGAATTTTATTTATTAAATATTGATAAAATATAAATACATTTTATTATCATATAATTATATTCATACTTTATATTTTAATAATTATATTTTATTGTTTTAATGTGTGATTTTAGCGGTAGAAATGTATTTTATTGATAAGAATATTAAAAAAGAAGTATCAATTTCGGAATGGAAGTTTTATTCTATGATTACCAGTGATTTTGGTCTACCGGCTCAAGCATCTATAAAGTGCACATTATTTGACTTATGGTTACCTTATCCACCAATGAACAAATATAAAGAGATATCTAGATATTTTCAAATTAGTAAACAATATTTATGTGAAACTACTACAATTAATAAATCAGGAACACATCAGGTTCATTTATATGAAATGCCTGAGGAAAAAGATTTGGTTAGTTCACTTCTTGATCATGGTATTGGCCAAAGAAATTCAGTTATTATGAGCACTACTAGTAGTATGTACAACTCTAAATATTATTATATATTAATATTGAAATTACTTTTATGGTTTATAAGTATACTAAATTGTAAAATATTTATTAAATTCTTGAATGAAACCATATTTTTTTGTTTGTTATTATTCTCTACCAAAGATTTAAAAATTGTTGTGAAATCTCTGTCAAAAATTCGAACTAAAAGTGTGCTAGTATAAATAATTTTTTTTCAGGTATTATGATTATAAAATTCTGATTATAATGATGATGCACTGTCAGTGCAAGAGGTCCATATCTCAAAAAAAGCATTTTGAGATAAATAAAGTTTTGACCAACCATTAGAGTTTTATTATGTGTGACATTATATTAGTGTTAATATGAAGCTCATATAAATTTCAAAATATTAGTTTTAGTTTGCAGACAAAGAATAATAATTTACTTTTAGTTATATTAAAATGCCAAACATCATAAATTTAATGTATCAGTTTCTTACACTGAGAGTGTAATAAAATAAATATACTTAGAATGTACGTTGATAAATTTGGGGTATACAAAGAACCAAAAATTTTAGCTAGCATAAAAATGTTTAAACTGTTTTAATTTTGCTTATTTAAATACATCAAAGCATTCTCTTGACTATCAATAATAATTTTAAGATTATATTTAAAAAGTAGGCTAAAAAGTTTATAAATAAAAATTTTTTCATGTTATGTTATACATATTAAATGTATATTATGTAACGTGAAATAACATGTAATTCAATAATAATAATATACATCAAATTTTTAACTTATTTTTTTACTACAATAATTATTTTATTTGTGTACTGTAGCTGAATATCCTTATGATAGTAAAATTCTTGTTGGCCAAACTTTTCTCGCTTACATTATACAAATTGATGAGAGTACCACTTTTTTTCAACCAGAACCTCATAGTGTAGATGTGCTAGAGCAGGAAATTCAAGATTATTTAACAAGTGTATGTATTTTGCATTTTATTTTATTAAATATCTTGAACAATTATAATATATATATTAAAATAATTATATTATAATGTATTTGTCAGAGTATAATAAAAGGATTTTTCTTAACTACTCGATTAAAATTCTAAACTAACTATTGCATTGTTTTATTGGCTTTGTTTTATATTCTCTAATTTTAATTATCTGGTTACTCTACATAAATATTTTTTTAAGCCCATCACAAATTATATATCAATTAATTAATTAAAATAGCCAATAAACCTCAAAATTATATTAAAACATTTTTATTCTGATATTAGTATGCATTAAATTATTGTAAACTTTTTATAACTACAATAGAAATGTGGTATAATTTGTTAAAACATAACTTGTTAACATATTAAATTATAGTTTAAAAGAACAATAATTATTGTTTTAAAAATATAAAAAATATTATATACAATAACACTAAAAAAAACTAAAAATAAAAATTGGCTTTAATACCAAATATAACAGAAATTATAATTTAAATTAAAATTTTTTCCTAACTATAAAAAATTACACTGTTTCTTTCTTGTGTTCAGCAATTAAACACATTTTTTTTGTATTATGATAATGTCATGGAAAAAATTGTTAAATAAAATACTTATAGTATTTTAATTATACCGTGTTTTTATTTATAATTCTAGTAATTTTCTATGCACAAAACTTCTCTATTAACTATTTAAAATATTTTCCTAACTGTACTTTAAATTATTGATTTATTATGAATTTGATATGGCCAACCGTATTATTTTCAAAACATGGTTGGAAGCTTTGGCCCTTCTGAAGCCCTGCTACCATTTAAGGACAATAAATGGTGTCTAGTTTTCCTGGATTCTCCTTGTAAATTGAATCCAACAAGAGTATTAAAGTATAAGCTGCTAAGTAGAGTTGGCTCCATGTAGAATAATTTTCACCTTTACTATTAATTCAGTGTTTTGAAAGGATGGATTCCTTGAATAACATTCCTTTTTCGTCAAATGCATTCATATATATGACCATTTTATCTTTAAAGAATGTTGAATGAAAATGCATTAAATTTTTTATAAAATGTGATGTAAACTCTACATTCAAATAAAAATTATGAAAAAAAAAAAAAAAAATCTACCAACAATGTGATAAAACAAAATGATGATCAGTTTACGACCTTATATAAGTCAATGGTCTACAATTGTAATGACAGAAAAAGTTTTTAAAATTTTCTATTACTCATATATTAAAAAATAACGTTGCCACAGAATAATAAATGTATTTCCATTTTATAATTTCATAAAAAAATATATATTATTTTTAAACTTATTCATAGTGTTATAAAATTGTTTAAATTTTCTACTTCCAGATAATAGATACTGTAATAATTAACTAGAACCTATTTTTTAAGATTATTTTTTTATAAAAAAATAAAAAGATTACTTATTATTCAATTTTTAAAAATATTCTGGGAATCTTACAAACCCAAACTTATATCAAATTAAAGCTTTTAAAAGTACATTATGATTAAAAATTAAAAACGTTTCCACAATATTTTTTATATGAATTATTTGATTTTTTTTAACTAAAAATTTAACAGATTCTGGTTAAAATATTTTTTAAAATAATGATGTTAATTATTGTCAGAGATTATAATTTTCTTAACTATGCCACGTTTGAAGTCGTCCGCACTGTGCTAAATTTTTTTGTATTATTTTTTGTTAATCATTCAGTAGTTTAAAAATGTAAAGTTTACATTCTTAAATTAAAAATGTTTCCCTGGTTGACGCCCAGCTTATTTATGAGTTAATCCTAAAAGTGTAACGAGGATTTAAAATATAGGTATACCAATAAAATTACTAGTCTTTACTTAAACTAGAAAAAAGTGTTGATGGTTTTATTATTTTACTTTTTGTAGATTACTAGTGCATCAACTTTAAATAATCATCAAACTATTTTTGATCAACCATATTGTTTAGCCAAGTATAATGCTAAATGGTATAGAGCCTTTATAAAACACCATAAACATAAAAATGTCGTAGTTTTTTTGATTGATTATGGATATGAAGTGGAAGTTAGTTGTACTCAAGTAAGGAAAAATTTTCTTCTTTTAATTTGCTTTTCCTTATAATAAAATTATTTTGTATTTTATGGTAACATAGTATAATAATAAACTGTTCTATTCAGGTGATGCCATTGAATGAATCATTATTGAGATATTGCCGAAAAAGCATAAAATGTAAAGTTAATAATGTAAGCTATTTTATTCCAACGGAAAAGACTATATATATTGTCAAACCGTTTTCGGTGTCATCTAATGGAATGTAAGTTACGATGTATCATACTTCTTATTTGCAAAACTAACATCTATTCTTATGTTCTAGTAATAAGTCAATACAAAAATTACATATAAATGTACCGAAATATTTAAAATGAGACACAAAATTAAAATGATTTTCTGATTAACTATTAATAGAAAAATAATTTCAAATTCTAATGATGTTGCCATTTAAAATATAAAATTGACACTCTTATATTGTATAAAGAGTGAACTAAAAAAGTAATTAATAATGTTAAAAGTATCATTCTGTATATACTTTACCTCACAAATAACTAATTTTGTCTTGTGCTATACTTTTAATTTTTTAATTTTATTAAATTTGATCAGTACTCAAGATTTTCAATAAATTTTTGCTATGTAAAACCATAGTCATAAAGAGATATATTTTAGTATGCCAAGAGAAAATTTAATTAAATTTTTTTATAATGAAAATAAAATATTTTTTGTTTTAATTTTAATATCTCTAAAAATTTGTATGATTGGTTGTACAACTCAGAATGGTATTTAATAAATATCATTTCGATATTTTTTCCAGCAAGTAAAAATTAACGCCAAATCCTACAAAAATTTTTTAGTATTTTATAAATTTTGCATTTTGAAATTTTTAGGAAATAAATATTTAAAAAAAGTAGATTACTTCAATAACTTTATCACTCTGTAAAGTCTTATAATAATGTAATCTCTTGTAGTATCTAGATAGAAGTTGATCTCTTAATTTCACTTTTTTCAAATTTTAATATTATATTTTTTTTCTTAATATTGTATTGCAATAATTTTTTTTTTTTTGCAATTGTTTGTGTTGGTTAAGTAAACAAATATTTTTTTTTTGTTATGCTTACAGATTGAATATTAATGTAACAATCAGTGAGAAAAATCAGTATTTTCCAATACCTGTGTTGCGTAATTTTGAGAAGGTTGTAGTGAACTGTATTGAAGATGACATCGTGTATATGTCGAGAGTAAATGGGTATGAAGAAATTGTAAAGCTGTCCAATCAGATTAAAAATAATATTAACCCATGGCATCCTAATATTAATGTGGGAGATGTGTGCATTTTAAAAGATACTTACAGGGTTGTCATTGAAGAGCGCATGATTGACCGTGTCAACTTCAGAAGTATCGATTATGGTTTCCGAGGTAGCGTGCAAGAAACAGCATGTTTAAAAACCATTAGGTTGCCTAATTATCCCGGCTACTCTATTCAGGCTAAAATCCATTCAAATATTCCATTCCTTAATCAATATTATATAGTTAAGATGACGGTGGAAAAGGATGGAAGTTTGTTAGTCTTATTCCCAGAACCTTGTGCTTATGAAGTTCCTTCTGGATTAGACCATATCCATGGATCACAGTCCGTATCATCGACAATATTTCAAAGCAAAGCTAGAGTGACATACTACGAAACAGATAACATTTGGATTGTACCCGAACAGTACTTTAGCATAGCAGACACAATAAAAGTAGAATTAGAAAAAATTGTATGTGACTTAATGCCAATGAAAAAACGTTCTGGTATGTTATGTGCCGCATGCGATTCTAATGAAAATCGTTGGTATCGAGTTCTTTTGGAAACTGACTTGAACCAAGCTATGTGTGTGGATACCGGAAAAACGTTTCGTATGAGTAGTAATCCCAAGAAACTACCAGATTCGCTTGAGATACTACCAAATTGTGCAATCCCGTGCCTTTTGAATACTGCTGCTGGTGATTTATCAGCCGATGTTAGAAAGTTGTCGCCGACTGAAATTGTTTTATGCGAATTTGAGCATTGTGGCCGTCCGCCTATTCGAGTAACTATTTTAAATTTTTCGACAACACTGAATGACATCAATGAGGTCGAATCAAGCAGAAACTTAAGACGAGATTATGGCGATAAAGTCAACAATGAAGAAAATCAACAAAAAATCTCAAAACAAAAAAAAAACTTTTCGGAAGAGGACATTATACAGAGTAATTTTAAACTTAGTAGTTCAACTTGTAACAATAAAAACGGGAATACAGACGGCAATAGTCTTATACCGCCCGGTAAAGTGGTCAAACCTAATGTCGGCGACATGTGGACCGTGAGTGTACCTTTTTATGAATCACTAGATTGTTTTTACTTACAGAATCAATCGAACGACAAACTGTTGAAATGGGTTTTTAATAATCTGCAGAACTTGCCATCGGATGACAGTGCAATTTATGAAACAAAAGTTGACGATGTGGTGGCGGCTCTGGACGATAACGATAAAAATTGGTACCGGGCTAAGGTAGTGAAAATTAGTGACAATTTTGAAGACTGCGAAGGATCTGTCGAACGGAGTTGGATTGTTACATTTATCGATTATGGAAATACTAAAACGACACGGCGCATTAGGCGAATGCCCGCCGAGCTTTTTCAAGTAAAACCTATGGGTCATCTATGCTACTTAAAAAACGCCACTGAAATCACTGTAGTTAATGAGCTATCTCGTGGTGATCTATACGACGTGGTGGATGAATATCTTAGTGCGGATCTTATGTCGGTTAAGTTTCATAGTAAAACTGTACCGTACGCAGTCACATTAACCCGACGTGGTCGTGACCTTTTAGATTCATTAAACGCACTAATATGGTACGGTTTATTGCCTGGGCGGGACGACAACGATCCAGTCGAAGCAGCTAGGCGCATCGCACTAGCTGACTACCCATTAGACGGACTACCGCTTGTGTCTGTTGGTCCTGTGTATTCGATTCATAATTTTTACGTAGAAATGGAACAACATGTATGCGTGAAAAATACTGTGAATGATATAATTAAACGAACTACATGTCATAAAAACATAGTAGTGATGGTTAACAAACCGACGGTGGGACAACTAGTGATCGCTAAAAGCCAGATTGATGGACAGTGGTACCGAGCTAGAGTATTACATTATGTTGATAAAAATACTGTCAATAACGAGGTAGAGCAAGAACAAATAGTTGACGTATCAAATAAAGTAGAAGACAAAAAACAACAGATACATCAACTTAAAGAAACTGAGAATGAACGATCCAATGAACTTTGGTTTAAGTGTTATATGTTGGATCTCGGCATTTATGAAATCTGTTCTGAATTTGCGAAACTCGATTCCCAATTATTAAACATTCCACCGGCTAAAGCTTTGTGTTCATTGCATTTGCAGAAAGCAATTCACGATGCGTTCTTGGACAGCGTCAATGAAGGGTTTGCTGACGAGATGACATTGTATCGAGGCCACGTGCCAATAACCGTACATCCAGTGGACGAATTGAGGTTAATAACCGCAGAAGCTACCCACGTATCGGTAGTTGACTTGCGCATTGATGGTCTAAGCATGGCCGCCGTGATAAAACCATATTATGTGGAAATACACAATGCGCGAGACCTCAATGCGTTTGTCGCTCAACTGGTAACGCCGGACCGAGTCAAAGTAGCTGAGGTGCTATGTGCAACTAAGAAGTTTACGCCTGTTCGATTATTGCAGCCTGGCTATTTGTATGTTGCGGTGCATGAAGGTCAGTACAAAAGAGTGAGGTACTTCGGTAACCGATCTGTGGTTAGAAATAACTCTGGTGATAGTATCAACTGTCATGACGTAGAACTTGTTGATGAGGCGTTACAATTAATTACTGTAGACCATCTGTTTGCATTACCCAAAAGCATTGAAACCGCAAAAACATTAGCCATCAGCTGTTCGTTAGGCGTTGACAAACAGTATTATTGCACACAAAAGTTCCGTGACTTATGTAAAAATGGTTGGACCAAATTCACGATGGTCATCGTCAAGCATGATGATGTAAACGGGCATAAAGTCGACTTATTCCGTAACTTTGAAAACATCAAGGTCTTGATAGCAGCTGATTCCGTCTAAATATATAGTTTTTCTATCATTCATTACTTTAAATGTGTTTAATTTAATCTTAATGTGATTTATAAGAATTTTTTTAGTTTAATTTTTTATATTTATATCTTTTATAACGGGTTTTATTTATTATTTTTTTACCAGTCGTGTTATTATAATCATTATATATTCGAATAATTTTTCTACGATTCTAGACGATTATAAATGTAACTACTTTTTATATTTCATAAAAATAGAATAATTAAAAATTAGATCAATTAACGCTCTCTTCGATTATTATATTTTACTTATTAAACACTACTTATACATATTATTTATATATTAAAATAATATTTATTAATTATTGAAAATAGAGTTATTTATTTGGTAGTTTGTTGGATATTATAACTCTTACTCATTTTCTTTTTGATATCAGGAATGATCCTAGAGATAATGTTTAAGAGGATGTAGAGTGAATTTTGTCAACTGTTGGTGATGGTTTATCAACTAAAAAACTTAAGTGAGTCAAAAAGTCTACTATATACTCAAAAATTACCGATCACTAAAATGATGACTTACGATTATTGTGACTTCAATAAACCGTTGGTACGTTTCACATCTTTAATGAATTCGCCATTTTTCGATAGTTTGACTAAATACCAATATTTTTAATGTCTAATGAAAATGAATTAAATTAGTCATTTTTTCCTTTTATATTTACGCTATACCGTGTTTTGTTTCAGATTATAAATAAAAACTTGGACGTCGACCGAGACTAACTTGATACTACATATTGTAATCTGAGAAAATATTTGATCATGTTCCTGTTTGCATACTTAAAAGTACGATGTTTGATATAAAATTATTATGTACCTCTAAAGTAGAATAATTATTTACTGGCTAAATTTTTCGTGTTATATTTTCACACTTTTGTTTTTTCTTTATTAGTTAGTTGTACCTATATGTGTGTTCAAGATTAATTAATTTAATTATCCCACACGATTTTTCTTATCATTTTTTTCTTGTATATTTTATTTAACGTAAAATTGCGGTTAATTTTTTTGCTACATATTGCTTTTATCAGATATAATTATAATTTGTTTATATTCGGTATGCATAAAATAAAAAATGATGATAATTCTGTTCTGATGAGTTCTTATTCTGATCCTTCCGTTATATGTGTCACAAACATTGGTACTATTACTTCAGCCGAACCAACTCAATGGGATGGTGCTGATTTTGTTGGAAAAAAATTAAATGTAGTATCGAGTAAAACCGACAGTTGTTACTGGTCTTCTACACATAACAAAATAACGAAGGAACATAATGACGAGTTCTCCTTACATCCAATGGTCGCATTTTGTGGAACTCAAAGTAAAGATTACATAGAGAGTACAACGAAAATTGCAACAACTCAAACTGAGTCGGGCTGTAACTATGATAATAAAGTATTTTTTAAACAACAGCTTTTACAGTGTTCGTCTGACGAGTAAAGTGTGTCAGCAAAAGAGTTTTAACCAATTCTATTTTGCAGGATTCATTGCTAGATTTGTGTGATGTCACAGTGACTGCAACTAAGCCAAATAAGTTCCAATGAAACGATATTTATGCTGAAAATTTGAGCACATCAATTACTTTACCACTGCCTAACGCTCATCAGCCACAACTAATTATAATATAAAATTATAGAAATGCCAGTAGTTACTACTATAGTTGTGGTGGTATCGACAGATGTGAATTTATTAGTAATAATTTAATCATGAAAATTATAGTGTGGACAAAAGTTGCAGTAAAAACAAAAAAAAAATTATATTTATGAGCGCTGTGAAAATATTACCGGTAATCACAATAATTGTGATTTCATTGCGATTGATATTTCGTACGATTAAAATGTCGACCAACAATCGTCTTTAACGACCCCGAATTCAGCGTCTAACAAAACTTCTTCTAAAAACCAGTTGCACTAAAAAATGTTATGATGAATTGTTATTCGAAGAGGAACATTTTACGATACTTGGAAAATGATTCCCTGAACTAATATTTATTTTTTTCACTGATTAGTCTCCAATAATTAATTTTATTTACCTCTAACAAAAAATATCGAAAATAAGTATATATATATAAAATGAGTTCTCTTAATTTAAGAGTACTCAATATTTGACTCAAATTACCCCCTTGGTAATTATTTAGGTGGAACCTATTGCTTTTAGTTAAAATAAAAACATTATTATTATTTTTTAATTGTATTCAAATAGTATTTTAAATACATTTTTTTTTAAATATTTGAGTATTATTAAAATACTTTTTAAAAGTATTTTTTACAACTATGGTTATATCACTGGCTATTTTCCTATAATTATAATTATTATACATCTTATTTCCTACTCTCATTTAAAAATCATGCAAACTACATTTAAAAAAATTAAAATTTTGAGATTGTAAATCTTCAGATTATCATTAAACACTTACTTTGGAGAATTAAAGTGAATCACTACAATAGCTTCTCTTAGATTCGCCAGTGACGTTGTATATATATATAATGTACTACCAATAACTTAAAAACTAATTATTTAAAAATTTAAAAAACTAGAAGCTTCATAACTCTATTGAAAAAAACAATGTATTTATAAAAAAGATACGTCCCGTATCATATGGAATGACACAGCACTAGTATATCATCAACAATATACCGTTCAGAGCATTTCAACATGCGTGTACTTGTAATGATAGATTCTAGGGGATTTTTCTAGATGAACGGGATATCCGGCGTTTGCTGCCTATGAAGGATACAGCACTTCCTGCCTTTTTCCGCGAGCGCCTTGTCTGTAATTAATTCTATACTCACTACACCGTCATATAATAGCAGTACTGTACGTACAAGTTAGGGTGAAACGATTTTCTACGCACTGTAGAGCATATACATTAATCAGTAATTAAAACTAAAAAATACCGTACTTATGCTATGTATCAATCATATTACAAATACTAAAATCAAATAGTAGACACAGTTAATTTTTTATTTTTTACCGACAATTTTTTCAAATATCAGTGAAAAATTGTATCGTTCATATAAAATAATATAATATTATATTTTAATTTGACTATTAGTCCAATAATGGTCCGTACAAATGTTTTGCATCGGAAGTACTATAAATGCTAGTTTAACAACTAAAAGTAAGTAAGTATTGAGAGAAGGATCTTTTTGATCTATTTGCCCTCCGATTATAAGTATAATAGTATTTCGATATGGCACCCTGAACTACATTATACGGCTGGTGGTGGAGTTGAAAAAATAAAACGTTTCCCGTTATAAATTTATTGCTTTTGGATTTTATCATATTTGTTCTGTGGCGAGAATGAGACAAATGGGAAAATAAGTTTCCGGCTACTGTCACCGGATAGCGTAACTTTTACTAAATCGTTCAGACAAAAACATTATTTTTATCGTTGTTAGTTTTTTCAGAAAATATTCATAGAACAGCTCTTTTAAAAATTATTGTATTTGTACTCTAAAAAATGTTTAATTACTATATAGGTATTTCATTAAAATATGAAGACTATTTATTATTAACAGTGATACCTCAAAGTTTTGAGACGTATTAGGTGTAAATGAAATTAGGTATTTTAGCATGCTTGTTAAAATTACACCCAAAATGCCAATCTCTGATTGTATTCGTACATATTTTACTATTGAGTGCTTATATTTCAGAAAAATAGAACTTAATAGCTTTTTTGTGGTTTCAAATTATTTAAAATTTAGACTTTAATATTTCATGTCAATACTTTTAGCCAAAATTGTGTTTACAAGATATCGACTGTTTAACTTATAGAAAAAAATATTGATTAAGTTTTTAATTTAGAAAACAAGTATTTTATTGCGAACATATTAAACTGAATGGTTAAAAACGTTGATGTCAAGCAGCCTCTATCAACTAATTATTCTATATAGACCGTTTTGAAGTACATTCATATCGTCAAAGATTTTTTTTTGTTAGCGTTTGTTATGAAAATATTATAGGTCGACAATTACATAAGAATTAGATATTATAATATTAATTAGCGTTATGAATTAAAGGAATAATTGGTGTTAATTAGTATAACAACATTTTGTTTATGTATTAAAAATGTTATAAATAAATATAAACTAATAAAATGTAATACGATTTATTAAGTTCTGTCAAATGAGGTAAATTGCTTAATAAATAAATAATTTATTTTGCACAATTTTTAATACACGACGATTATTAAAATTGACCAAGTAATAAGTCAAGGAAACCAACTGCCCTTAATTGTCTCCTTGTTTAACTACCTTAAACTCCTTTATTCCACTACTATTTAATTTTATCTATTTATTATTTACCATTTCACTATCTGTATTATGTTATAAATCTAATCTACATTTTAACTTTCTATCTATTAGTTACAACGCTGGTGATTCACCATATGTACAATGATGCGTATTATAATGAAAATTTGTTTATCATATCTCTTCTTGTAGCTGGTAATCATTTGAAATCAAAATTAGCTTATTATAACTTTTATTATATTTATACTTAATATTATAATATATTAAAATATTCTATATATTTTCAATTTCTCCATTACACAGTAGTATATAATGTTCTTCGCTAAAACAGCTTTTACATTAATAATACACATACAATTTTTAACATAAATAATATTCTTCTTCTTCTTCCTCGTCTTAATCCCAACTACTTGGGATCGGCCACCCTTATCCTAAACTTTCTAGGCTTCACTAATCCTTTCGTCTAGTTATAAAAACGATAATAACTCTTGAAATATTTGTCTAAAGTTGATATAGAATCGTCAATTTCTTAATTGGATTCTACTTTTTTCCTCGCCTTTATCTCAACTATTTGGGGTCGGCCACTCTTAAATTAAACTTCCACTAGAAACTATCTCCCACATAAGTCGTCCTCATATCGCATTCAATAACATCCCTCCATCTCTTTTTTGGCCATCCTTTGCATTCATTTCATTTCTGTTTATCATATCTGACATAGGAATATTATTATTTCTCTATTTATTTAATCCTACCGTCAATGTATATTTACTTGTTTTAATTGCATTCTCTGATGCGCCATTGTAACAAAATGGCTAGGAAGGTCCTTAGATACCGCGTAAAATAAATACATGTATTTTCATATTCGAGTTCTTTTATAAATGGTCTAATGTACATAAGAAGGGTATTTTTGAGACTTTTCCAAAAGTTCTATGAAAAATTACTTCTTTTATTGACATTTATGGAAATATTACATATTCAAGTACTATGAAATGATTGAATTTCTAGTTTTAAATATTATTAATTACACTTAAATACAAGTAAGGAAGTAAGTGGTGTTGCGCGGTGGTAATACTAGTTGTTGACAAGACTCTAGTGTTAAACTGCGCCTACCGCCATAGGTAAAAAGATGGGTGACCATACGTGCGCTTTTACGGTGGTGAAAAAACACTCAGCGCAGAAGGCAACAGAAGAAAGCCACTGCATTTATAAATTTCACAGGATATACCAATTCAATTAGTATTAACCAACCTAATGGTTATAAAAAAAAGGAGGTACCACAATCTCCACAATAAAACTTTTCTTATTTGTAAAATGAATGATAAAATATATTAAATTATTTATTTTTAATTTATAATAAAAATTTATTAATTGTTGAAAAGGTATTACAAACTTCAGGCACGTTAAATATTTTTATAAAGACTATTTTCAACATTGGTAGTACTTCTCCATATTTCTATAATTTTCTTTAAACATCCCTCACATCAAATTGATTTAACTATGGATAAGATATTTCTTTGTATTTGATATACCTTTGTTGGTATATTACATAATCAAAAAAATATACTTTAAATTACAATCCATTTTAGCTCTTACATTTTAGTAATTATTAAATAATATTTAATGAAATACGCAATTAATATATTTAACATTAAATTGAAAATTATTTATATTTATTAAGTAGACAACCTGCTACACAAATACCTGCTGAATTACTATTAATATTATACATTTTTAAATGTTGCCATGAGTATTGGCTGAATTTAAGTATAAAATCTTCTTAAAAATTCACTAAAATGTATAGGATGAAAGTCTAAGTATTTCTTAAAATTAATAAAAATTATAAGTGTTGTAACAAAAAAATTGTAAATAATTCATAAATAATAATTAAAATTAGAAACACAATTTTGTAAAATACTTCTTGTATCAACATATCTCAACATATTAAACAATTATTAAGATATAGAATCCATTCTAACAGTTAAAAAATGTATGTATACTCTTAAATATTTTTGGTATTTATTAAGATATTACAACAAGATCTGAATATTGTCTAATTCAGACTCGAAGCCATGATTAAGACACTATCTTTAATATTAAAAAATAGAACAATTTGATGAACACTTTTTAAAATATAAGTATAAAATATTAAATTATAATGAAATGAAAGCAATTAACACATTCTGTAACATGAACATCTAGTTAATTACTTTAGAGTATTTGAAATTATTAATTGTAGCTCTTATAGTTTAGTAATTACTAAATAATATTTAACATTAAATTGAAAAAAATCATTAGCATTTAGGTAGATGATCTGCTGCACAAATGCTGACATACTATAAATTATATAATAATACTACTAATTTTTAAATTTTGTTTTAAGGCATGAAAAATTAAGTTTATTTTATAAATAATATTAAATAAATTAATCATATTATGTTTTAATTATTAAAAAATATTTTAGACATCTTATATGATAAAAAAATTAAAATGCTATGAAAAAAAATTACATTGTAGAAGTACCTATTCCACTAAGTCTTTTAATATCAGCTATCAATTTAGAAGATGCAAGTTTGAAATCAACAGGCTTCATATTCATCACTGATACTTTTAATCTAGTTTCATTATTGTAAGTTTCTAATTTAGCTCTTACTCTTGTTTCAAACATCTTGAACATCTTTTTATGAATAATATTGTTATATTCTTCTTTGTCATCATCATAGAATTTACCTAATTCTGATGTATTTATTCCTAATAATCCTTCTCCTGCTTCTTGAAACATAGTTACCCATTGACTACCAGTAGTGTCACACAGCTGTGCTTGAAGAAGTAATCTATATTTGAAATTTTCAGACTCGTCATTACATTTTTCACAACGGTAAGTTCCATCATTTCTGTCAATTACTTTTTTTTGACAATCAGCCTTTGGACATGCTTTGTAAAGTGCAGAATCACCTTTTATGAAGACTAAATATGAGTACATACTGTAATAATCAGCTTTATCTCCACTGCCAAGCTGAGCAATTTGAGCACTTTTAATAGTATGAAATTGTGAATTAGTTCCACTTTCAGAACGTGTAGATATACTATTAAACTCTACTGTTGAAGGAAGAGCATCATACCAACCTCTTAAACGATGAGAATCTTCAATATCTGGATTAATCTGCATTAATGTTGATCCCATTAAAGACAACGACTTACTTCCCATAAACTCGCGTATTTTACTTCCTTTTATTGCTACAACAGGTTGTAATGATCCATCAAATTCTTCTGCAAGATTGTCCCAAAGAGTTACAGTTACAGAACTTAAAGACTGGTCTACCAAAGTGATGTCTCTTTTTTTTAATTCTTTTTTTGTAGTCTTTGAAACTAGATTAACAACATCAGATGCATGTTGACACACTCCAATTACATCAACCATACTATCAGTATCCAAATCCTTAACTACATTCAATGAAACAAAATTAAATTTCATAGTAGGCATTTGAGTGTCATCAAAATCGTGGCAAGGAAATATTTGTGTTTCACCATTAAGAGTTAATTCATAATCATTATTCAAGTTAGTATACTTTTTATTGGCTGTTTTAACAATACCCTTAGTAATAAAA